AGTGCAGGTCGGAGGGTCGTTCCTAGTTGTGTCAGTCCTCTGGGATAAGGGGAGGTGAAGAAGGCCTAGAGAAGCACACTAGATTCTTTGAGAAGAACCATTTGTGAATCCATACCCGTCAGTTACACTCATTGTTACAGGCTTGCTCTCCATTTTCTACACGCTGCTGGGAAGTCTTGGTCTTTTTTAAAAAAATCTGTCTCCACATCTGTCTATCCATACATGTAACTTCATATATAACTTCACATATATAGCTTTATAAAGAGAAAATATACAAATAATATATAATGCACAGATATAAAGTATAAACTATATATAACTGCAATGCATAAAATTATATATTACATAGTTATAATTTTGTAGTAATATAAAATACATTTGATTTATATAATCATTATAATATATAGTAATATAAAATATACTATTAAAAGTTATGTGTATATGTATATAATTGTAAAGGAGACAAACCAATATATAAATCATGGTCATCTCCAGGCAATGAAATTTGAAATTCTAAGTGTGATTTGTTTTATTTTATTCTTTATGTTTTATTGTATATGTAAGTGTTTTAAATAAGCATGAATTATTGGTTCTAAGGCAGGTAGGAGAGTTATTTTTTAAAATATTCCTTTCTGAAAAATGTAACCCTCTGTGGGTGGGTGTGAGGGAAGGCAGGTGATCTCTGGTGCAGCAGAATGAAGGGGGTTATAAGTGGGGGGGCCTGAGGTCAGATGCCCCAGAGGATGTTGGGTGAGGACACGGAGCAGCAGTGGGCCCCCGCCTCCTCAGGAGAGAAGGGTCCCAGAGCTGGAAGTCACTGAACACCTGTTCTGCCACCGAGTATAAGACTGGCTTCCATGACAGCAAGAGCTCTTCTGATAGAACCTTACCAGGTTCAGGAGGTGGCTGTAAGCTTTAATATGAAAGAGAGAGGGACAAACTAGGAGAAACTGGGCTTTGTTGTCCCTCGTGCTTGCTGGTATTTTGGGAGCCATTTTTTTCCCTTCAAAATGTCACTATAATGATCAGCTTTGACTGGTTTCCATTCTAATAAATGCATCTGAATGGATGAAAGGAAGCACTTTTTAAATGATGTGGAGTACGACCATAACTAGTGTTATCATGAGACTTTAATCGGTCCTCATGATTTTCTCCACGATTAGACATAGTGCCACATACTGGTCCCCTGTTGTTTTGTCAAGAAACTTTCCCTGACCCTGTCCCTGAGAGGTTGCCTTGGATGGGCCGTGTCCCACCAGAACAGCTCACTGCTTCTCTCACACGCCCTCCTCTACGTGACTGTTCCTTCTAGGTTCTGACAGCCTCTCCTTTCCCTCGTTCCTTTAGCTTAAGGGCCGTGACAACTCCAGGGTTCTTGGGCTTTATCGTGGCCTTTGCTTTCCCACTCTCTGGAAACAAACATTTTGTAAATAAACCCTCCAGGAATTGTCCTAGTTTGGACACGCTGTTTCCTGTCAAGGCTCTGACAGATACACGCATCTCTCCAAACCACGTCCTGCTGTGCTGTCCAGTATGGTAGCCACTCGCTTGTGGGCATCGTGCATTTAAAATGTGGCTCGGCCCTATAAAGCAGTGCTGAAAGTGTAAAACACATGCTGGATTTTGAAGACTTGGTATGAAAAGAAAGAACCTCAATAAGTTTTACATTACTACATGTGAAAATCACGTTTTTAGGGTGTATTAGATATATTACTAAAATTAATTTCACCTGTTTCTTTTTACCGTTTAAAGGTGGCTACTAAAAATGTTAAATTACCTATGGGGCTTGTATTTATGGCTTATATTTTATTTCCAATGCACAGAGCTGCCCAAATGTGAAAGCAAAAACGTATGATACCCTGCCATCCTGGAGCTGGGAGGAAACTTGGAGATCATCATTTTCCCGGTGAGAAAGCCCTAGCATGCTTGTAAACATTTACGGGATTGCACAAGCTTTCGGAGTAATTTTAAATGGTCTTTTTTGGGTCTGTCTTCTGCAAATCAGCCTGAAATACCTAGAGACAAAACTTTAAAATATATTAAGTTCAAGTTAGTTTTAAACCTCAGCTGGATTGTCGATAGCCAGTTTTAGGACACAAAGAGGCATGAGAGCTTGCTGTTCATCGGTATAAAAGCCCGCTGCTTTACGGGAGCGAAACCTAACAAGCGCTTCACTAGTTTGCACAAAGGGTTGGGATCGGTACTTCACGGTACTGATACCAAGTCCAGTAGTGCGTGTCTACCCAGCCGGCACCAATGGGGCAGTTCCACCCAGGCACAGAGTCAGACCCACGGGGTCTCCTTTGGAAGGTTAAAAAGGACTTCCCAGACCTCCATTCCACGTCAGATAGAGCACAGAGAGGCAGGCGGGCGAAGTCCAGACATTGAGCAGCAAGGTTGTCTCGTGAGTCCCCTGCACCCCCGGCGCGGCGACCGCTGCCAGCTCGTGTTAGCACCCGTGTGGGCCCGCAAAGCCGCCGGCACGAGGTGCAGGGGCCCGTGTGAGGCGGCCAGACTGCCGCCCACATTTCAGGGCGACCTTCTGACACCAGGAAGCCAGGAAATCGGAAACAAATCAGATTGGAATTAAAAACCACCTCATGCAGGTTCCACGGGCCACCTCTCTCCATTAAACAGCCAGGCGATTAGCATCCCTTCCTGACCTGCTCTCTGAGGAGCACTCTAGGAGGGCACAAGGTCAGAGGAGGCAAGAGCTAGAGGAAACCGCAGCTTATGGAAGGACACTTAAATCCCTCACTGAGGCACACGCGTGCAACACACTTAAACTCCATCAAAAACTGGGCATACGGATTTGGAATCGGAGCTGAGAGATGTATCTATATCTGTCTATCTATACCTGTCTATCTGTCTATACATTTCTCCCTTTGATTCATTTATGAGTTTATTTCCTAAGAGGTTACTCCTTTCCAGGTCCTGGGGAACTCTCCATCATCCTAAACTAATACAAGGGAAATCAATTGGGGAAAAAAAAATCCCCAAGCACCAAAAGCTGCTGAAGGGAGAGAAGGTTTTGCTCCAGAGCCGCAGTGAACAGCAGAGTAGGTGGAAGTCGAAGCCGCTGCGGAGGAATTCGGTTCACTCCAGACAAACGGGGCGTGGCGCGCTGCGCCGTCCCGGGAACTGCAGCCAACAAAACTTCCAGAGGTTCGCGGAGGGGGCGGGGTGGGGCGGGGCGGGGGAAGGACGTAGCAACACGGGCGGGAGGGAAGCGGAGCTCAGGGGACTCGGAAGGGTTAGGGCTGTGACGGGCTGAGCAGAGTTGGAGAGGTTGGGAGCCCCCCCATAGAGCTAGCAGCTCCCTGGGTGGAAGTCAGGCCCTCGGGGATCCGGCCTCCCTGGCTGTCACTCAGACGTCCCGGGAGCCACCTCAGACCCTGCTCCGCGCGAGGCTACCGGCTGGGGTGGGGGTGGGGGGCGGAGTGGGGAAGGGGCGTCGCTTCTGCCGCCCCCGCCCTCTCCCATGTCGTCCGGCAGCCGAGGGTTCCGCGCCACCTTTCCTCCTTCGCACCCTGCCCGCCCCGCTGCGCTCGTCCGGGGGCTGGTCCGGCCCTGGCTGTTGACGTCACCGCCAAGTTTGCTGCCCTCGGAGCCCCACGTGTGGCGGCGGCGGCGGCCCGTGAGGCGACGGGGCGACGGGGAGGCGGCGAGCGCAGTGGCCGCGGCCGCTGACAGGTCTCGCGCAGCCGGGCTCAGCCACACCGCTCCCAGGTGGGGCCTGAGAGTAGCCGGAGCGGCCGGGCGCGCGTGAAGAGAGACCGACTGCTCGGGGAGGGCCCTCTGACTCCAGCTCTAGCAGAGGAACTCCGGGGACCTGGCCTTAGGGCTGAGAGGGCGCGCCCAGGGGAGCCAGGGACCGAGGAAGCAGGACTGGGAGGCGCTGTCCCCGCCGCGGTCTTGGGTGCACGGAGCTCAGCGGCCCCGGCGCTGCGCGTCCCTTCAGCGGGACCCAGCGAAGGATGCGCGATCACTGAGCTGGGATCCGCGCCGATCCGGGGCCGAGACGCACGCTTTCGCCATCGCGGCCGCGACCCCCATTCCGGCGACTCTCAGGGAACTGGTGTGCCGAGCGCGGCCCCAGACTCGGGACTTCGGCGAGTCTGAGACGATGGTTTCTTAAGCACGGCACCACGTCCCCCTTCCTGCCCCCTCGACCGGAGGCTAGGATCCCGCGCGGAGCTCCCAGGGCTCCCGGGGCTCGGTCTTCTCGAGGAGCCCCGGCTGCCTTGGCCTGGGCAGCTCGCACGGCCCTAGGGACGCCGGGCGATGTGGTCTCCGTCGAGCGCGCAGTCCCTCCAGGAGGATGTCAGGGCAACTGGCCGAATCCCGACCTAGCATGGCCCACGCGCTGCCCGACGTCGCCTCCGGCTAGGATGGCCCCTCCGGGCCCGGCCGGCTCCCACCCCACCTCTGCCGAGCCACTGTCCCGCAGCATCTTCCGGAAGTTCTTGCTGATGCTCTGCTCTCTGCTCACATCCTTGTACGTTTTCTACTGCCTGGCTGAGCGCTGCCAGACCCTGTCTGGCCCCGTCGTGGGGCTGTCGGGCAGCGGCGAGGAGGCGGGGGCCCCGGCTGGCCGTGTCCTGGCCAGAGGCCCGGGG